TCAGTCCATTAGGCGTCTGACTTTGGCTCAGGTCATGATCTTGTGGTTCCTGAGTTCGAGCCCCGCATGGGGCTCTGTGCTGACAGCTCAGAGCCTGGAGCCTGTTTCAGATTCTGTGTCTCCCTCTCTTCTCTGGCCCTCCCCCGTTCATGTTCTGTCTCTGCCTCAAACATAAATAAACATTAAAAAAAAATTTTTTTTTTTAAGTCACAAATACTTTAACAGTTTACAGTGTCATTTGAACAAATAAATTGTTCTGGAGGAATCATTTAATATTGTACCTCTGTGGAACTAGGAAAGAAGTATTCTGAAGAACCACCAGGTTTGTTGAAATAACGAAATCCCAAGTTTAAAATCAAATTGTGTCTTGCTTACCTACCTCCTTCTCTATATAAAAAGTAAGTTAGGGGGTGCCTGGGTGCCTGAATTGGTTATGTGTCTGACTCTTGTCTTTGGTTCAGGTCATGTTCTCACAGTACGTGAGTTCGAGCCCCACATCAGGCTCTGCTGATAGCACAGATTCTGCTCGGGATTCTGTCTTCCTCTCTCTGCCCCTCCCTGCTCATGCTCTCTCTCTCAAAAATAAACATTAAAAACATACTAAAAATCACTTGCTTTCAGAGTCATTTTGTGCCCTTAATTTTCCTCTGGAGATTAGGTAGGGGTTTTTCTTGTTTGTTAGTTTTTAACACATGTAGGTCTATAGATTCTGTGAAAATGCTTTCATTAGTCTCTGGGCTCCGCAAAGCTCAAAATGGTTAAACACCAACCACTGCTTAACTGGGTTGCTGTAAACAAAGCCCAAAATGAAACCCCTGTGTATTTGCTGCAGATTCCCAGGTGCCTCTTGAGTGCAGGAATAAGCTCAGAAAAGGTTTAATAAGTTTATTAAGTAATCATCCATTAAAAGGTTCATATGCTACTTGTGTGTTGCATCAGGGCAAGTGCCTTGCACCTTACTGCATTTAACACTGCTTGGAAGAGTGTGGACCTAGGATTTAGACCACTTTCAGATATTTAAGCTGAATTTTATTAGGACGAACGTAAGGTCACAGAGCTGCATAAAGGATCAGTCAGAAGATACCAGGCTATTTTATTTTGCCTGGTATGTAAAGACGAATATTATTAAATCTGAAGAATGGGATGTCTTGCAGGGCTGTTGGGTAAGTTTTGTGGAGATCCCCACCAACAAAGAAATCATACTGAAGGGGCTCTTGGGGCTCAGGTCGTGATCTCCTGGATCGGGAGTTTGAGTGCTGATGGTGCCAAGCCTGCTTTTGATTCTTGCTCTCTCTCCCTCTCTGCCCTTCCCCCCCGCCCCTCAAAAATAAATAAACTAAAAAAAAAAAAAGTATTAAAGTAAATTTAAAAAAATCATATTGAAGATGAACACTTGATTCACAATAGCTGATTATAAAAAGGAAAGCCTCAGTATTTAGCTATAACCCTAACATTTCTTAGGGTTACGATTAACCCAAGCATAATGACTGGCACAAACTGGTTTCTTGGTCAATCCAGGCAGTAGTTCCTACCCGAATGCTGTGTTTTTTTGTTTTGTTTTTCGAATACTGTTTGGTTTTGTTGGCATGTTTATTTGTGGAAAGGGTAGGGGATTGTGAGGGGAGAGATAGGAATCTCTGTTGTAATAGGATTTGGTCTGTGTATTAATGGAATGAACTGGCCTTTCTTGCTGTACTTCCTTTGTCCTTGCTGAGAAGGGAGGCTGAAGTTTTCTAGAGTCATTGATGAAGCTGTAAGAGGAAGTGTGGACTTTTGACCTTCTTGATGGTAATGGAGAATGTTAGGGGAGTTTGGGGAGCCCCCATATTAGTGCGAGGACTGGAAAGAGTTATGGAACATTTTGGCCTCAAAACAGGAATATACAAATTGAAGCAATAACTTCTACTTTTCTACCACTTTTTTTTTTTATTTGTATTAATTATCCTGTGTCATTTGACATTATTTTTTTCCAAAGCAACACATAACCATTTTCATTTATCACCTGGGTTTATTTGAAAAAAAAAAAAGCTGTTTCATTTCACAGGCCTCCCCACACCTTTTCCTACTATGGAGTATATTCATTATTTTTTTTTTCTCTCAAAATCAAGTTCCCAAGTACTCCATTGAACAAAAATAATCAACTAAGAATATTTTCTTGTTTTAACAATTCTTAAATTGAAGAAACTTTAACCTTAATTTTTGAAATGCATCAGTGGACTTCTGCCCCACCCATCTCCCTTCTTTGCCTGCTTCTCTCACCAACAAAAACATTAAAGAACACTTGATAAACAATAGCCCTTGTTTAAAATGAAAGCTTCAGTGTTTAGCTGATTGTTTGCTAATAAAATATTTTCTTAAAAACAAATCAAAAGTCCTTGCCCATATGTCAGAATTCCTCCATCTCAGAGAGACATACACACAGCCTGGATATTACATTATTTCTCTGAATTGCTTTCATAAGTACTTACTCTGGTATACTAACCAGAACTGAGGTGAAATGGGATCAGACGAGAGATCATCCAGAGTACTAAAGTTTTTGTCTTACTCCTGTATTTCAGTGTATTTCTAAAAGAACTTTAAAAGGATAGTGTTCTGTGTTTATAACTCCTAACGCTATAAGCACCAATCTAATTGGTATTAGTAACTTATTGATGATGTATGTGATGCTTTTATGATGATTTTTAGTTGGATCCTTACATACACTTGTCCATTGGGGTTTAGTTTGTATATCCATTGCCTTTTTATTCCCTCTCTTAGTCCAGATGTTCTGGTGAAAATGGCCCTTGGTTTGGATTTTTTTTTTAATATTTTTAATTTATTTTTGAGAGAGAGAGTGGAGGAGGGGCAGAAAAAGAGGGGCCAGGGACAGAGGATCCAGAGCGGGCTCTGCACTGACAATAGGGAGCCCATGTGAGACTCACTCCAACTCATGAACCATGAGGTCATGACCTGAGCCGAAGTCGGATGCTCAACCGACTGAGCCACCAAAGTACCCCCAGTTTGGATATTCTAAATTTCTTCTAAGGTGTGTATTTACTGCCAAATACATTTTTTTTATACGTCTAGCTCTAGGACTGTTTCTTCCTTCCTTGCATGATGTTGAGTTTTTTTTTTTTTTTTTTTTTTTTTTTTTTTTTTTTTTGATCATGAGAATCAATAGTTTATCTCACCCTACATTTCTTGGATATCTGCCTCACTGCTCAGGCACAGGACTTCATAGAAGAGCTCTAAAAACCTCTGTAACAACTGAACAGACCAATGGTCAGGAAATAAGAGCTCGTTTTTAATCCATTTTAATGATTTTATAAAATTATTATTCTTAAATCCTGACTTTGGATTTTTGTGAATTTTACATCCTCCTTTCAGTCAACTTGCCAGCTTAGAACTTCTCTTTATCACAGAAGAAATCCCCTCTAAACTTCCCATAGGGCAAGGTATTATGGGTTGATGACTATTGAGCTACTTGTGTGCTTAATGTCAAATAGTGGTCAAATGCTCAAAACTTCCCCAGCTGGGAATCATTTCAGTGTAAAGGTGCAGAATAGAAAGGGGGTGCCTTACTTTACATTTTAGGATGTGCCCTTTGTTGTGCATGATTCCATCATTTTATAGTGGGGAGACTTTGTTACATTTTTTGCTTAAAAAGTTGATTTTTAAAAATGCCTCCCTCCTCTCAGTTTTAGAATGAGTGTGGCCAGGAGGGTAGAAGGAGGTGTGATAGAGACCGACCTTGTTAAAAAACTGAGTTATTTTTTGTGTTTTATACACTTGCCGGGGTAGTGCCAAGAATGGAGGGAGATCCAGGAGGACTTCCCCACAGCCCTTCTGTCTGGCTTGGTCATGTAATATCAAGTTGCCAGGGTTGGGGTGGAGCAGACAACTCTCTCTTAATGGTTTCTTGTTATAGCCCTCATAAAGCTGTGTCAATTCCCCTGGCTTTACAGACTTGCCCAGAAGAAAAGATGTTTGGTTTTCACAAGCCAAAGATGTACCGAAGTATAGAGGGCTGCTGTATTTGCAGAGCTAAGTCCTCCAGTTCTCGATTCACTGACAGTAAACGCTATGAAAAGGACTTCCAGAGCTGTTTTGGGTAAGATCATCTGATGTTTTTACCATTCTTAGAGTGAAAAAGATCATAGCTTACGGAAATCCTTCCAGGCGAGGCAGGCAATTGGAGCAATGTGCTAATAAATTAAAATCACTTACATTCTCATCTAGGCTATTTTAAGGTTCTTGCTTTTAAAACAAATCAATACTGACAGCCTACCCTTTTCCAGATTATAAGGAACTACAAATTGTGAAGCCCCTTGTAGTTATAATCAAACTCTTTTGTTTTTAACATCAAGATATAAAAGACTTTTAAGAAATTACTCTTATTCTCTCTTATACTAGTTGTCCTCTGGTAGTTTTCTGTTCTTTGCATTGTTTTTCTAAATTATGGAAATGTATTTTAACCCATCCTGCTGAGGATGCTAATAAGACTTAATGTTCTGCCCTGAGATCTGTCAGGGTACATTTCATTTTATAATTTTGTTCTTTATTTTTTGACAATAATCCTGCTTAGTAAAGTGGAATTTACTTTCCAACAAATACTTGGATAAAATAGAATAGTTCATGTTGAACCATTTCCCATGTTAGAAGTAATTTTTACCACTTTGTTTCTCTAATCAAAATACTTGTTGATTACTTATTGTTAATCCTGTATTTTGTGCTTATTTTGAAGGTTGTCAAAAGAGTTTCTGCCAACTTTGCCTTTTTAAATTACATTTGTCACTTAATGTCTTCATTTCCAATGGTATACATGATAAAAGTTACCAGTATTTTTCTGTATGTATTTATAATAGAGGAAAAGTGTAGTAATGAAAGTTCTTCAAAGATATAATTTATAAAGAGCTTGGTTGACTAGTGTTACAGATTTCTTCCCCTTATGCAGATATAATCATTTTTTAAAAATTACAGTGCCTCTTGGGTTTTGTGTGTTGTAAAACCAGAATATCATGACACATTATTTTATGTAAAGAGTGGCGTTTTGTTGCTTATGGAAATATCTACACACTTCAGAAAAGATTAAGTGGACAACCTTGTTTTAAACCATAGTGACCAGGATCTCCTCTAGGTCTTAAATTTTATTATTATTTTATTTTAAAATGACCAAATTGCAGTACATAGAATTGGTTCATTGGATCTAGGAGTTAATTATATTTCTAAAATGTACTATAGAAACTATGTAACTGTATCATCCAGGACAATTAGCAATAGCATCTATAAACTGTAATTGTATTTTTTTTTCCCAAAGAAATACACTGGCATGAATTCTTAAGTATAAATGAGTCTAATAAAAGTTTGATTGTTTTCTTACTAGGTTGCATGAGACTCGTTCAGGAGACATCTGTAATGCCTGTGTCCTGCTTGTGAAAAGATGGAAGAAATTGCCAGCAGGATCAAAAAAAAACTGGAATCATGTTAGTTCATCTTTTGTCTTTCTCAGTTATACCTCTATTACATTTATTTGTTTTGAGAGAGAGAGAGAGGGAGAGAGAGAATCCGAAGCAGGCTCTGCACTAACAGACGCAGTGTTCAATCCCATGAACCGTGAGATCATGACTTAAACTGAAATCAAGATTTGGGTGCTTAACTGACTGAGCCACCTGAGTGCCCAGATAACTTCTATTACATTTAAAGTAACATTAGTTTTTTCCCAATTTAGGAAGTAGTATGTTCCTCAGATGGAAAAGTGAAAAGAATAAAGAAAAACACAAGTTGCTGCTCAGATATAATTACTTAACATTTTGGCCTGTTTAGAAGCAAAATTTTGAGTAGTGTATCATTTCCCTAAGGCTGTATCCAGTATCCCCATTTTAGAGATTCACAGTGTACATTTCATGTATTTCCTAAGGTTAATTAGACATGGATCCTTTTTTCATCTCAGGGGAACATTTATCCTAATTCCTGGAGGTAGTATAATGAGCACATAGGATTTAGCACCAGAACTGGATTTGAATCCTGCCTTACTAGTTGCGAATTTTGGGCAAGTTCCATTTACTTATAAAATGGAAACATAGTAGCTATCCCACAGAGCTGTTGTGAGAACTGAATGAGATTTATATATAAAATGAAACACATAGTGATCAGTTATGTGGAAGCTATTCTTACTCTGTATATTTAAATCTAGTTGAGATTGTAGTGGTATGTAAATGTGTATTCTGTTTGCCCTTTGTCATTGGTTTTCAGTGATCAGAACAGCACTGTTAAGTCTTATGCTAGCTTTTAAAACATTTATGGCATTTATACAAAATACTTGTTTTTAAGCCAGCATGCATTTAGTCTTTATCTTTTTCCCCCTAACACTAGTATTAGCCTTACATTTTCCTTTGGTTACTGTGTTAACATTATTTTGATAGGTTTTTGTGGGTCTGTTAATTTATAAAAAGGGAATTTTCTTTAATAGTTTGTCTGGAGAAGTTGAAAATTGTGATTTTGAAGGTGATGACAACCTTTTTAAGGGTGCAAATCTGCAAATAGTAAATGTGAATAAATTTGTAAGAAATACCGTGTAGGTCTAGACCAATGGCCATGGTAGACTATGGGAGAACATGCCATTGCCATCATATAAATGACCTTAGGGATTAAAGTGTATGGTGAAAAGAACATAAAGCATAGTTGTGAAAACGTTAATTTGAGTCTTGTATCCCTCTCTACCCATTCTTGCCCACTTACTAGTTTAGTGAAGTAAGGCAAAAGATAATTTCTTGTTTTCTTTCACCCTAAATTGGAGTTAACAAATAGTCCCCTTACTGCTTTGTAGTGAAAGTAAACTCAAAAGTGTATGAAAGGGGAGCCTGGGTGGCTTAGTTGGTTAAGCATCTGACTCCTGGTTTTGGCTCAGGTCATGATCTCACCATTTGTGGGTTCAAGCCCTGCCTCTGGCATAGCACCGACAGTGTGACAGCGTAGAGCCTGCTTGGGATTCTGTCTCTGCCCCTCCTGGGAGTGTGTGTCTACTCTCTATTTAAAAAAAAAAAAAAGTATGAAAGCTTTTTGCAGACTGTAAAACCCTGTCTGATAGAAATGTTAGTTGTTGTAAGTCTTGATTTTCTTTAACCTTTTGGGTCATTCTTACCATATATAAATCTATTTAAATTTTTTGTACAGTATATTGTTACTATTGCCTGCTTTGAAGAAAAAAACCCCACGAGATAAATTATTCTTTAATACCATGTGATGATTAAAAGTGCACATGGGCTCTCAAACACTCTTAAGTAGAAAACTGCTTCTCAATTTAGGCTCCTTCAAATAGGCATTTGTCTGAAGTAAAGGAATACAAGAGGTGTCATTTTTTAAGTGGTATTAAATATTCAGTATTTTCTTCCAGGTGGTAGATGCAAGGGCAGGACCCAGTCTGAAGACAACATTGAAACCAAAGAAAGTGAAAACTTTATCTGGAAACAGGATAAAAAGCAACCAGATCAGTAAACTACAGAAGGAATTCAAACGTCACAGTAAGTTTGAGGTTTTGATACTGAAACAAGAGTAGTTAAGAATAGTTGTTTGGTTTTTATTTTTACCTGGGGGTGGCATATGGTATGTATAGATTTTTAAAGTTATTTTCTTTAAAGTGTTGCAAGGCATTGTCAACGTGGTAGAGATATTTCTGTGAAATCTTTTAAAATTTTTAATGTTTATTTTGTTTTATTTTTAATGTTTATTTTTGAGAGAGAGCATGAAGGGGAGGAGAGGGGCAGAGAAGAGGGGGACACAGAATTTGAAGGAAGCTCCAGGCTCTGAGCTGTCAGCACAGAGCCCAACATGAGGCTCAAACCCACCAACTGAGAGATCATGACCTGAGCTAAGCTGGGTGCTTAACTGACTGAGCCACCCAGGTGCCCCTTGAAACTCTATCTTTAGTCCTGATGACATAAAAGTAATTTGACTAGCTGACCACTTCCTTCAGATTGTATGGAGATCGCTCTGACCACTCTGATCTGTTTATTGACATGTTAAGTTCTAGAAGATGAATTTTTCAAGCTTGTTTACTTGATTTTTATGCATAAGGAAATAGAGGTCTGGAGATGTGCAGAAAGGTATGTAAATAATATTAGTGGACAGTCTGAGACTAAAGCCCAGGTTTTCTGTAAAGTAACTTTAGAAATCATAACTTACATATTGCGGTAAAGCTAGCCTCAGGACTTTCAGGTTTCTGGGACAGTGTGTGTTGTGTGGAGTGATGGAATGGGAAAGGAATGATAAATTAATATCAGGTTCATCTACTCTTAAAGGAAGTTGTTGAGGGGGAGAGCACCTGTAGTGGTACTTCTGTATTTCGGAATTTAGATTTCAGCTTTTGAAAAGGAATTGCAGTGCATATAATGTTGTTTGTTATATGTAACACAATGAGGGGAGGGTTTCTGAGGCAAAACAACTGAAATCAAACGCATTAGTATTTCTGTCGTAGAAATGTAGTCATATTCACAAAGGTGGAATAAATAAAACTTGCATGGGCTAGTCAGGTTTGGCTACCCTAATGTTATAGTTGACGTCAGGCCAGATTTTGTGGCCAAATGGGTTAGGAATAGACTCTGTTTTCAGGGCTTTTTCAAAACTGTAGATGAGGTTGTGGACTGGTCAGAGAGTTTTCAGGATTATAAAAACAATTTGTAGGACGCTGTTAGACAAAATATCATCAATGCTTGTTTTAGAAAAATGGTAAAAGAGAGTTAAATACACTGATAAGGTAGAGTGAGGAAAGGAAAACTGTCATCTCTTGGGACATTTTGGTAGATGTACCAAGCATTTTACACACATAGTTATCTCAGTAATTTGTTTTAGAGATTAGGATAGGAAGTAGAGTGGTGATTTAACCTTGAGCCAGGTTACTTAGTAAAGATGATAGAGATGAGTTTGACCTCAGGTTTGTCTAGCTTCAAAGCTGTTTGCTCTTTCTGCAACACCACCCTGCTCCTTGAGGTAGTATATAACCAGTGCCCACGACTCTGAAGCCTTTGCAGATCATCTGCTAATTTTCTGCTCTTTTAAGTAGGTGTTACCAGTCCATAGTTATTCTGATGATATGTTTAATCTTCGACTAAAATATTTTAATACTTTATAGTAAAATATTTAGGTGATATGAAATAGGTGTGTATTTTAACTATACATGTTCTTTAAAAGTTTTTTTCAAGTTTTTCTTTACATTCCAGTTAACAAACAGTGTAATAATAGTTTCAGGTGGAGAATTCAGTGATTGATCACTTACGTACAGTACCCGCTGCTCATCACAACAAGTGTCCTCCATTAACCCTCAGTTTGTTCTCTATAGTTGAGTCTTTTTATTTTCCCTATGTTCATGTTTTTTTTCTTAAATTCCACATGAGTGAAATTACATGGTATTTGTCTTTCTCTGACTTACTCATTAGGCATAATCCTCTCTAGCTCCATCTACTTCATTGGAAACCTTTTTCTTTTTGAATCTCCTTTTTAATGGCTGTGTAGTATTCCATTGCAGACACTCCCCACCCCCACATCTTTATCCATTCATCTATATAGATGGACATTTGGGTTGCTTCCATATCTTGGCTATTGTAAGTAACACAGCAGTAAACACAGGGGTGCATATATCTTATCAAAAAATTAGGGTAATAATATGATCAAATAATCATTCTATTTTTAATTTTTTTTTGAAATTTATTTATTTATTTTATTTTTAAAAATTTACATCCAAATTTGTTAGCATATAGTGCAACAATGATTTCAGGAGTAGATTCCTTAGTGCCCCTTACCCATTTAGCCCATCCTTCCTCCCACACCCCCTCCAGTAACCCTCTGTTTGTTCTCCATATTTATGAGTCTCTTCTGTTTTGTCCCCCTCCCTGTTTTTATATTATTTTTGTTTCCCTTCCCTTATGTTCATCTGTTTTGTCTCTTAAAGTCCTCATATGAGTGAAGTCATATGATATTTGTCTTTCTCTAATTTCACTTAGCATAATACCCTCTAGTTCCATCCACGTAGTTGCAAATGGCAAGATTTCATTCCTTTTGGTTGCCGAGTAATACTCCATTTTATGTATATATACCACATCTTCTTTATCCATTCATCCATTGATGGACATTTGGGCTCTTTCCATACTTTGGATATTGTTGATAGTGCTGATATAAACAGTGGGGGGCATGTGCCCCTTCGAAACAGCGCACCTGTATCCCTTGGATAAGTACCTAGCAGTGCAATTGCTGGGTTGTAGGGTAGTTCTATTTTTAGTTTTTTGAGGAACCTCCATACTGTTTTCAACAGTAGTTGCACCAGTTTGCATTCCTACCAACAATGTATGAGGGTTCCTTTTTCTCCACATCCTTGCCAACACTTACTTCTTGTCCTTTTTTATCTTTTTTTGGATAAATGTCTATTAACATCCTCTACCCATTTTGTAACTGGATTGTTTATACATGTTCCTTTCTTAACCAGCTATCACCAGGGGAAAAGAAAAAGACTGAGCCAACCCTCCATTCTCACTAAGTGTTTTAATGAACATTTGAGAAATAGTAATTTTCTTCTACCACTTGAAGGTTAGAGGAATTGATTATTCATATGTATGTTCTTAGCTCCTCCCTTTAATTATGGGAAAAGTGAAACCTGACTAAATTTCACCTTACCTAAGGGAATATGTCCAGTGTAATTTTAGATTTTTATTATAAAGCTGTGTTGTGGAAGGAGGGATTGGAGACTGAAGATAAATCCCTTTGAAAAAGGTGTGTGGGCTTTGGAGGCTTAGACTGAAACTGGGTTTTCCCATGTGCATTGTGAATTGCTAGCACCTGTGTGCAGCACAACAGTTTTGATATACTTCAATTTTTATATACATCACCCACTAAATGGTGTCCCTGTCTCTTGTTATATATTTGCTTCCCTGCATCCTGCATTTACCTGACTTTTTTCCTGAGATATTCTTTCCTTTGGGTGGTGTACTGCAAAGGCATTAGACCTAGAGCTTGAAGATCAGGATTTGAGTTACCGTTCATGAAATTTAACTTAACATAGAACCATAATTTTCTTATCCGAGAAAAGGGGATAATCAACTAAAAAGATTTTGTAAAACAAAACAAATTCCTGTATAAATGTTAGTTTCTTCTTTTTGTCATTCTTCCTAAAATCTACAATGAATTCTTGTTGCTATGGAATAAAGCTGAAAATCCCTAGTGAGTCTTTGGAGGTCCTATTTTAGGCAAAGAATATTTGGGCTGAGTCCATTCCCTTCCTGTGCATAGTGTGTTCTGCTTCCACTACCCCATGCTTAGCTAATTACTCTTCTGTGCCTTTTCAAATCCCACAATTTTTAAGATTTTAAAAATTGTGGTTCTTTGAAGAATTTCCAGGCCTGCATTCCAGAAGAGTTTTCTTCCTAACTGCTTTTTATATAGTTATATTCTAGTGTCTCAAGTGTTAGATTAAACCATAAGAAACGGCCATTTTTATAGGTAGAAAATGATCTAATAACTGCTGCTTCAAATGTTCCATAGCTATTAAGCACTTCCTTGGATAGTGACTTTTCTTCTCCAGCATAGAGCTGACTGCTGCTGCTGCTAATTGTTTGCGAAGCCTTTTAAACATTCCAATAATGTTCAACATTCTTTAAATTTTAAAGCCTGCTATTCTTGAGGATTTTATATGTAAAATTTTGTTAATACAAAGCATTCTGCGGTCTATTCGTAGGTTTTCTTTGGTCTATTTCTTCCCATGTAGAGTATGACATGGGGTTTGAGGTCTAGTAGATAAGTACTTAATAAATACTTAATTGCTTCTTTGAATTGGAGGGTTGCTCTATCCACCTATCCTGGGGGCGGGTGGTGTGTGTGTGTGTGTGTGTGTGTGTGTGTGTGTGTGTGTGTGTGTGTGTGTGGTAATCTCAACCCCTATTTGTGATAACTGCTGTCACTGTAGAATAGCAGTTTGATAGCCTTAGAGCATGATGACCATCCACCAAAAGACTCATTTTCTGGCTAGTAAATTTATATGGAGTCTTCTAAGGGCAAAAGTACTAAATCATGTTTAATGTTTAGCTTGTATCTGATGAATTGCCTTTATTCCTTATTAAATCAGGATCTGTTGTTTTCCCTTTATCGGTAGGGTGTTGTTTTTGGTTGCTTTTAAGATTTTTTCCTTTATCTTTAGTTTTCAGAAATTTAATTATCAATGTGTCTTGGCATTGATTTCTTTGAGTATATCCTGTTTGGGGTTTGCTCAGCTTCTTGAATCTCTCTATAGGTTTGTCTCTTGCCAAATTTGGCAAGTTTTCAGCCATTATATTTCCTTGAGTATATTTTCACCTCCGCCCTCTTTTTTATTCCAGGACTGCAATGACACGAATGTAGATTTTTTTGTCATAGTCCCAGAGGTCTCTAAGGCTCTATTCATTTGTTTTCTCTGTGTTGTTCAGGTTGGGTAATTTCTGTTGTTCTTTCTTCCAGTTCATTGATTGTTTCCTCTGTCCCCTCCATTCTGCTGTTGAGCTCCATCCACTGAGCTTTTTATTGCATTTTTTTTCTTTCTTTTTTTTTTTCGCAGCTCAAATTTCAGTTCCACTTGGTTCTTCTTTATAACTTTTATTTATTTTTTTAAATTGAGACGTGTTTGGGGGGCCTGGGTGGCTCGGTTGGTTAAGCGTCTGACTTGAGCTCAGGTCATGATCTCGCGGTCCGTGAGTTCGAGCCCTGTGTTGGGCTCTGTGCTGACAGGTCAGAGCCTGGAGATTCTATGTCTCCCTCTCTCTCTCTGCTCTCTCCCACGCTCGCTCTCTCTCTCTCTCTCTCTCTCTCTCTCAAAAATATTAAAAAAAATAAATACATTGAGACCTATTCGCTGATAATATTTTTGTTTCAGGCATGTTCAACGTTTATTTATTTTTGGGACAGAGAGAGACAGAGCATGAACGGGGGAGGGGCAGAGAGAGAGGGAGACACAGAATCGGAAACAGGCTCCAGGCTCCGAGCCATCAGCCCAGAGCCTGACGCGGGGCTCGAACTCACAGACCGCGAGATCGTGACCTGGCTGAAGTCGGACGCTTAACCGACTGCGCCACCCAGGCGCCCCTTTTCAGGCATGTTCATAATGGCTCACTAAAGCATTTTTGTCATGATTATGTTAAAATCTTTGTTAGATCATTCTAACATCTCTGTCCTCTTGGTGTTAACATCTACTTCCCTTTTCACTCAGTTTGAGATTTTGGTTCTAGATTTGAGGGACTTTTTTTTTTAATTGAAACTTGGATTTTTAAAAATTATGTTATGGATCTTCTTTAAAACTTTGGTTTTACTGTCTTTTTTTGGACACCCTTTTATCAGGGGCAATGAGACAGAGGCATCACTTTGTCACTGTGTGGTGGTGTTAAAAGGTTCCCCAGTTAACACCTGAGGTGGGAGGAGCTCCTCATTGCTGTGGGATGGGGGTGGGAGTTGAAGTTCCCACATGGTGGGGATACTCATTTGTGGTGGGCCATGGCTAAAGTCCTGACTTCTCAACAGGCTTCCTCTGACACCCTGGTGGATGTGTTGGTGCTTTGTAACAGTTTTAGGAGGATGGAAATCTTTGGCTCCCCACTTGGCCTCTGCTGGAGTGGGTGGGATTGCGGCCTCTGTTTTCTGTGGTGTTTGGCTGGAGTAGAGTGATTATTACTCTGATAAAATTATTACTCTGATAAAAGTTTCCTGTCTTGCTTAGGCTGCCACTTTTCTGCCCCTTTGACTAGAGAGCAGGGTTTTGTTGGTTTTTTTTCTTTCTTTCTTTCTTTTTTTTTTTTTTTTTTTTTTTTTTGTCTATACCCATCGGTATTTCTGTGCTGCTGGCTTCTCTAGCTCGAAGACTGGATTTATGAGGCAAAAAAAGAAAACCTATAAAAACTAGAGAACGCACCACCATGTCCTTCCTTAGGTCGAGCTCTCTCTTAGCCGTTGCCAACTTTCAGAGTCATTAGGTTTGTTTTATATGCAATATCCTGGGTTTTTAGTTGTACTTATTTATTAGCAGGAGGAATGGGGAAAGGTATGTCTACTCCTATCTTCCTGGAAGCTTACGGCCTCATTTTCTTTTTAGAAACACTTGTACAAATATCTTCAAATATCAGTAGTGAATAGAAAATAAATTCTTTTTTTCTTTCTACTAACTCACAGTTTTTTATGCTGAGCCTTAGTTACATATAATGAAATTAAATTATAATTTTTTTTCCCTCTTTATTGCAGATTCTGATGCTCACAGTACCACCTCAAGTGCCTCCCCAGCTCAGTCTCCTTGTTATAGTAACCAGTCAGATGATGGCTCAGATACAGAGATGGCTTCTGGCTCTAACAGAACGCCAGTTTTTTCCTTTTTAGATCTCACGTACTGGAAAAGGTAAAAGCAACAAAATATCTCTCTAACCAGCAAACCTTCTTAATTACAGGCGATGGTTTCCCACTTCCTTAGCAGTTAAATGGCATTTGGCATACAGCTGGTAGCACACATGGTTGGAGGTGGATAAGCAAGAATTGAGCCGAGAGCTGTGATTTATGTGCTTTTCCTATTAAAATTGATTTAAAATAAAAATCATGTTAGGGAATGTATGTTTCCTGTAATGGAGTAGACTGGGTATTCTTTCTGACCAACTCTCACTGAAAAAAGTAAAAGCTAGAAATACATATTTTTAAGTCTTTAAAAGTAGCATTGATAAGTGAACAAATTAGTAAGGCATAATCAGAGACCAGACCAAATGCTAAGTAAATGTGGAACCCCAAAGTCGAAAAGAGGTAGTAGATTTGGAAAGAGAAAAACAGCTAAGGATTTTATTTTCTGTTTCACAGATTCGAGAAGACTAACAAATTAAAAGTGAGATAATAAGCATTTATTTTATGATAGAATTCACGCATAGATGATTATATGAAACTATAGAACATGAAAGACAAAATAGTTCTTTAACAGTGAGAAAATAAAGACTATTTTCAAAGGAACAGCACTAAAAGCTGAGTTCTCAGTATGGACAAAGGAAGCCAAAAAATAATAGATTAATATCTTCAGTGGGCCAAGAGGTAGTAACTCTCAACCTAGAATTATATATATGTGTAGCAAAAATATCCTTTGGGGGGGGGGGGGTGTGCTTGGCTGGCTCGTGGGAAGAGCATGTGACTCTTGATCTTGCGGTATGGAGTTTGATCCCCACATTGGGTGTAGAGATTACTTAAACAAACTTACCTTTTATGAACAAGGGCATAAGACTTTGACTAGGAAAAAGGTTGAGAATTTGTCATCAGACCGACCCTAAATAACAAAGTTCTACAGGCAGAAAAAGAGATCCTAGATTAAAATTCTGAGAAGGATAGATAAAGTAGCAAATATTTAGGTAAATTTAAACAAATTGCTTAAAATAATAATAGTTGTGGGGGTAAAAACAGTTACAAAACAGTAGCATATAAATCAAGGGAATAAAAGGGATAGGAGTTAAGGTATCCTAACATCCTTTGCCTTGTCAAATATAAATATGTTGAATAACTTTGGGACTTGAGTAACTGTGTCCGCACTCATAGAATTAAATAAAAAGAGTGAATACCTCCAGAGTCAAGAAGGGAAGGGCAGAAAATGTAAAAATATGCTTAAAAATATACCTAGCAAAACAAAATGGAAATAGAAACCATGGGTCCAAGAAGACAGTAGAATAAAAATTAGAAAATCTTTATAACTAAAAAAATAACTGAAAAATACCACAAATCAAAACATGGTATGAAATTAAAAAGAATTGGAGGAAAAATTAATGCTTTCAATGCTTAGAAAAGAAAAAACTAAAAATTTGTGAAATGATAAGCATTCAGTTTAAAGATAATGAAGCCCAATACAAAGAAAAATAAAAGCAATGAAGTCCTAAAGATACAAACAGAAATAAATGGAGTAGAAAACTGGTAAGCAATGAACAGGATCTGTAAAGCTAAGAGTTGGATCTTGAAAAAGACCTGACCAAAAAAATTAGTAGAGATGAAGCAGATAAAAAGAGATCATATTCATAAGCACCTTAGACAAAACAGGGAGATTTATCTATAATTAAGACAAATGTAAAAGACAGTAGGACATTAAAACAACTGTATGCTAGTAAATTTGAACATACAGATGAAGTGGATACATTAGTAGAAGAAGACAGTTTTCCAAAACTGTCTCAAGACAAAATAGAAAACTTGTATAGTGTTACAATAGAGAAGTTGATTCAGTGGCCAAAGTCTTCTCTCCAAAAATCCCAGGCTCATCTTAGGCACGTTCTCCCAAACAATCCAGAAACACATGATTCTGATCTTGCATAATGTTTTCAGATTATGAATAAAAGAGGGCATAGGCCCTAAGCATTCTCTGAGGCTAATATATATAACTTTGATACCAAAAGAGTATATCATGACCAGATTGGATTTATCCTAGGGGTGTAAGATTGCTTTAAACATTAAAAGTCAACTGATAGAATTTGCCACACTGACAGTTTGTAAAGGAAGGAAAAAAATGCCTGTCATCTTAGCAGTACTTTGAAGATGTTTGATATATTTGAATGTACCTTCAAGGTTTAAAATAAAACCTTTAGTAAATAGGGATAGAAGGGAACCGCATTAATAATTAATTGGCATTTTCGAAGAAACATGAACATATTTCAATTCCTATATACCAGCCACATAACTTAGAAGAAAAAAATGTTAGACGCACATTGATGTGTACAGCATGTTTATGGTAGCAAAAGTCCCATCAAAAGGAGTGTGAATAAATTCACATGGTGGAATACTATACACAAAACGAAATAAAACTTTGACAATGGGTCTGAACCTCAATTAATGTTGAGAAAATTGCAGCAGTAGAGTATGATTCCATACATGTGTTTCTTTTAAATAGGAGATAGTTGAGCAATATATGCAGAGATGTAGACTTGTTTTAAAACTGTGAAGTGTAGGGGCGCCTGGGTGGCGCAGTCGGTTAAGCGTCCGACTTCAGCCAGGTCACGATCTCGCGGTCCGTGAGTTCGAGCCCCGCGTCGGGCTCTGGGCTGATGGCTCAGAGCCTGGAGCCTGTTTCTGATTCTGTGTCTCCCTCTCTCTCTGCTCCTCCCCCGTTCATGCTCTGTCTCTCTCTGTCCCAAAAATAAGTAAACATTGAAAAAAAAAAAATTTAAAAAAAAAAAAAAAACTGTGAAGTGTAAAGCAAAAAGGCCCTGATAGGCTTAAATTGAAGTTGGAGTGAATGAGATTGGGCAGGATGGGACTGGAGAGAAACATACAGGGGGACTTCACAGGAAATGATTATTCCCTTAGAGTATGTGATCCGTGGGTGTTTGGTAGTCATTTTTAATGCCTATTTGTATATTTGAAACAGTTTACAACTTCAGGAGCAGCCTCTGAAACTGCTGTCTCTCAGAATGATCCCCACACCTTAATCTTTGATAAGGTTCCAGTGTGGAATTTAAGGGACCTGGGTAATTCCCATTACCCAGTTAATTGGGGTCTCTCTAGGAGCCTTTCAGTTGGAATGTGATAAGACTGTAAAAGTAGAACCTTTTGATCATGTTGTACTAGTTATAATTATGTAGATTTTTTTGTTGTTGTTGTTGTATTGCTAGTTTTCTACCTTATTAATAGATTCCTCTCCCATTTTTTTCTTTTAGACAGAAAATATGTTGTGGGATTATCTATAAAGGCCGTTTTGG